GATAAAACTTATTTACGCGCAGTAAACATTTGCATCTGCTGGAATCAGACTGGGAACTCCTGATCAATCACAAAATGCTTTTGTGGGTCATCCCCACATAGCAGACAGTTGTGGCCCGGATCTGGCATCAAGCTGGCACTTCTGACTGAACGGTGTCATGGCAGGGTGTATGTCAACCAGATGTGGGCCAGGTCTGGCAATGATGACACTATTTATGTTCTCCTATTTTAGTTAGAAGAAACAAATGCCATGTTGCAATACTATACAATACTATGCTATTGTAGGCGATGTTTCAAATGCAGGTTTGACAGGTTTCTGAGTGTACACTTTATCCAAAACCTAGTGAGGGTTTACTCATATTTACCACTGGATGTCTTTAGCTCAGCAGGTGGAGCAGGTCACCTACTGATCAGAAGGTTAGTGGTTCAGTCCTTGGCTCCTCCAGACTGTATGTTGTGAGTGTGTATGAATGTAGTGAGAAAGTGTGTGTTTGGGTGAATGTGGCATGTTGTATATAAAATGGTAAATGGCCTGTATTTATATAGCGCTTTACTAGTCCCTAAGGACCCCAAAGCGCTTTACACAACCAGTCACCCACCCATTCACACACACATTCACACACACATTCACACACTGGTGATGGCAACTACATTGTAGCCACAGCCACCCTGGAGCGCACTGACCAAGGCGAGTAATCTGGGAGAGTAGAAAAGCGCTATATAAGAATCAGTCCTTTCACTGTCTGAACAGAGTTACGTCATGTTACTTTTGCACTATTATGTTCTAGCACATGTTGTTATTACATGGCTTGATTAAGGTCCACATTAGGCTGACATCTGGGGCCAGAGCTGAAACTGTTCTGGGCCAGCAGTGTGTCTGCAACTGGTCTTGTGCTGTCCCATGTGTGGGCCACCATCTGGGCAAACCAGATTTGGGCCACCATTATTTGTGGTATGTGGGTCATGTGTAAGCACATTGTGTGGGCAAGATCCGGCTCGTACCAATTTTGCTATGTGGGTAAGAGGACCCTAAAAATGTGTTTTTTTAAACTCTGCCCAGCATGCCGCATTCACTGAAAATAAGCTCTTGTCTCAAACGACGATGAATTCATCATTTAAGACTTCTATTGCATTAGGTGGAGGTGCAGGTAAATTACTAAATGAGATTGAATAACATCAACACCACTCAATCACTATGATAAAGCCAGTGTTTATGCTGTGGTTTAATTTAGATCTGCTGTAATTAATCCTACATAATTTTTTTGTTTTACAGTTACTGCTTTTTTACACTTACAATTAAATTTAAATGGTAAATGGCCTGTATTTATATAGCGCTTTACTAGTCCCTACGGACCCCAAAGCGCTTTACACATCCAGTCATCCACCCATTCACACACACATTCACACACACATTCACACACACAT